TCGCCTCGTCGAACATTCCTAAAGCGTGAGACAATATGCCACCTAGTCAAACAATCTGGGATAAGGCGAAAGGCTAATCACTCCATTGGGAATGATTTAAATGTGGTAGGACAAGACAGTTATTTTAATCTTTTAATCTGATTCTCAAGAGAAAATAATCAGGGCCTCAGTGCATTTTGTGTTGTGAGTGTGGGGGTGGCATGTGTTTGATTCCACTTGTGGGATTTCTCTAGAACTTGTTCCTTTATTCTCTGTTTAAAGCATCTCTACAGCACCAGATTAAAGGGGACTTCTTCCATTTTTTCCAGATTTCAGCAGAAGTCAAGATGTAAACAAAATCATTCAGAGTGGTTTATTTGAAATGCTTCATTTTAGAAAAACTGAGTCAGAAATTCTGCCTGTAAAAATCTGCCTCACATGAAATGCTTGTGAGTCCATTTCCTGATGTCTGAGATATTGTTTTACAATAGTTTTTAGCGGTTGTAAGGAAAAAAAATAATCCTCAAAGAAAACTTTTAGGTTCACTGGCGGTTTTCTAGAATGAAGCATTTCATATCAAACAGCTCTGAATGTCTCAACGATTATGTGGAAATTTTGAAAAGCTGGTGGAATTTCCCTTAAAAGGACGCAAATTTCCCCTTAGGGGACCCCAGATGGCATCGTAAGGGACATTCCATTAATTTATTAGCTCATGTGAAGTTGATAGACGAGCCCTTGGAAAGGTGAGGGACTGTGTGAGCACAAGAGTCAGCTTCAGCAGCAGACCTTGCTCAGATATCATTGGGCCTCATTCACCAACCGTTCTTAAGAAGAAATTCCTTCTTAACACCCACTTACACAGTTTTCACGAAGATTCTGACTCACCATTGTTTTCTTATTTGGGATTTGTTCTTAGGTAAGAACAGAATCTACACACACTCAAGAGCACAAAGGTGTGAACAGTTCTGCACATCGTGAGTCAGACTCTCAAGAACACATTTAAGAACAAACTTAGGAAGATATTGGAGAGTGAGGCCCATTGTGATTCCCTTTTCAAACCTCAAAATGCTGTTTATAACCCTGCTAGAAAAAACAGCACAGACCAGCATCAGTGCCAAATTTTAAGTTTTATGTTGGTCTAGTACTCATTTAGTGCTAGTTTAGCTGGTCACCCTAAACGACTATGATTAACCAGCATACCAGCAATTAAAAACACAACATAACGCTGAGTCGGAACAAAACCTTATATCTCCAAAATGGTAACTTTACAGGAGAAGGAAAAAACATACTTTACTTTTAATGTAAGTCAATGGAACCAGACATTTTGCCAAGTCATTTTGGGTCATTTCTTTTAGTCCATTCCTCATGATATTTACACACAATGTAAAGGACAACATGCACATTCCAATTATACAAAAAACTGAAAAACGACAAAAATGGAGATACAAGGTTTTCTTCCGACAGCAGCGATATGCTGGTTTTACTGGTGACCAGTCATGCTGGTTTATGCAATTTTTTCCCACAGGGAAGCTAAAGCAATAAATATACTTCAAAGTACTTTATATAGCAAGACCATCATATTCGATTTGCTGCGTTCAGACTAGGTCTATGTCTGGTATAGCCTACGTGACTGCAGATACAACACCATTACTCTGCTGGCCTGTTAGTTAGCAAGCTGAAGGCTACACAGCTAGCAACAACAACAAGTACAGACAGTACAGCACACCAAAGGTTAAAGCCAGACAAAGCAGTTATTCACAAAACATATGCACTTATTTTCAGCATGTACTCCTCAAAAAACGTTTTTCAGGACAAAATTTGCATGGCTAGCTGATTAGCTTCCTGAGGCTAAGCGAGTTGTTCCAGCTGAATAATTCACTCCTCACTGTCCTCTAATCCTCTTGGCCACTTGTGTAATGCTGCCGTGATGCACTTCCAAGTCAAGAGGCAAAGTTGGCGAGGGAACATGAAAATTCAACAGGGACTGAGTGAAAATAAAGGCCTATTAACAAAATTAGCAAAACCACAAGGAATACTGGCAAGTTCTGCCCTCAGTTACCACGGAAAATGATGATAATGGCCGGATCTACCATTTGGGTGACCTGGGTGACTGCCCTGTGACAACCAATGCCAAAAAGTTCTAAAAAAAAAATGCAGTTTTAAATGATTTTAATCACCACTTTTGAAACATCCAGCTTACTATAAATCTATTCACACAGGAATTAGCCAGCCATAAAGAAAAATCCAGCTAATAATATCTAAAAATTTTAGCATTTTATAGTGATCTTCACAAGTGAGCGGATGCACTTTTATTGGCACACCTGATTGATCCTGACAAGGTCTTGGCTGAGGAGTTAACTCTGCTTCAGTTTAGGTACTTTGTGAAGAATCAATAGACAGCAAATCATGTCAGCAGACAGTCTTAGGTTATTATCAGTGGGTTCACGGAGACAAAGCACCGTAGCTCTGATGCCCAGGGGCACCACAGGATCTTAATCTGGCCCTGATTATGACCAGAAGTTCTATTAACTTCTGCTTATACTCCACGAAAACACCAAGGTTTGAGTTTTATTAGCACGTTGCATGTAAAACAACTCCAGAATCAACACAAAACTATAATTATAAAAAGGTACACTTTGTAACTCTGCCAAACCTGCTGTGTACTGACCGCTTTGAAATAAGGCTGAATGAAGTGACCGTGGCTCAGGCACTGATTTCGTCTTCAACACCGCATCTAAAGATGGGAGTAAAGGAATTACATCAAACAATAAACATGCAGCTCCCTCCAGAATTATTAGCACCCTTGGTAAAGATGGAGATGGACCTCTGAAAATGTGCCTTTTTTAATTAATCAGCAACTAAAATATGACAGAAATCTCACCTTTCAGAGGAAAAACATTAAACTAGAAAAGTGCATTTCCTGAAGAAAATGCAGAGTGACCGCGCAGCGGTAAGAATGGTTGCTACGATGATGCCAGGCGGTTGCTATGGTATTTTAAATGGTTGCTAGGCTGTTGATAGGTAGTTGCTGTGAATTTCTAGATGGTTGCTGAGGTGTTGCTAGGAAGTTGATATGGTATCAGATGTGGTTGCTAAAGTGTTGCAAGGTGGTTGCTATGGTATCCCAGGTGGGTGACATGGTGTTGCTAGGCATTTGGTATGGTATTCCAGGTGGTTGCTATGTGATTGCTATGGTTTCCCAGGTGGTTGCTGAGGTGTTGCTAGGTGGTTGCTATGGTATCATAGATAATTGCTTAGGTGTTGCTAAGTGGTTGCTATGGTATCACAGGTGGTTGCTGTGGTGTTGCAAGGTGGTTGCTATAGTATCCCATGTGGGTGCAAAAGGTGTTGCAAGGTGGTTGCTATGGTGTCCCAGGTGGGTAGTATGGTGTTGCTAGGCATTTGGTATGGTATCCCAGGGGGCTGCTATGCGATTGCTATGGTTTTCCAGGAGGTCGCTAAGGTGTTGCTAGGTGGTTGCTACAGTCTCACAGATAGTTGCTTAAGTGTTGCTAGGTGGTTGTTATGGTATCACAGGTGGTTGCGTAGGTGTTGCTAGGTGGTTGCTATGTTATTACAGGTGGCTGCTAAGGTGTTGCAAAGTGGTTGCTATGGTTTCCCAGGTGGTTGCTGTGGTTTTGCTAAGAATTTAGTATAGTATCCCAGGTGGTTGCTAGGCAGTTGCTACGGTATCTCAGGTGATTGCTAATGTGTTGCTAGGCGGTTGCTTTGCAATGCACAGTCACTAATAAAAAATTCAAATCGATTTTTTAAAAATGTGTCGCGGTTATCGGCACCCATAGAAATTCTTCTGGGCGAATTTCAAATTGCCATGTTTTTCCACTGATATTAAGCTTTTTAACCACACCTCAGTCTTATTTCTATAAATAATTAACGGGTCACACTTTATTTGGATGGTCCCCTATAGATGACCTACACATATTTATATTTTTAACAAATGTTCTAGTGATACTCAGTTGTTTATCAACAACATTAAGTTTGAGGTTATGTCAGGAGTAGCTGTAGGTCTTGCTTTGAGGTTAAGTTTAGATTTTGGTTTAACAGAATCTTTCACTTTCAACTTTAAGTTCAGTTGCATTGAATAGGCATTTAGTTGAATGTTAGTTAAAGATTGACTGAGCATTTACAAACCACCTACAGTGGACCATCCAAACAAAGTGTTACAAATTAATACTGGTATTAATACATATACATATATTGAAATAATATTTCTAATGTTTTAAAGCTGGGTTTTAACATTGTCCTGTGTAGGGCAGCATAAACAAGGGGGGAATAAATCAGCCCGACTTTCTCCAATGAGGGATACAAAGAGATAAATCTGCCACGTAAGTTGAACATTTTCCATTACATCATGTCAGTTTAGATCACATTACAGTGCAACAGGAATTACAAGTACATATTATAAACACTAACTTTCTCAGTGCCAATCATGATGCATGAAAATACAAATTAAATGATATAGTGTATATATATATATATATATATATATATATATATATATATATCATTGTTGTCAGAACAAAACCATCTCTATTTTTGACATTTTTCAGTTTTTGACACAATTTGAAAATGCAGCTCTTTACATTGTGTATAAATTTCATGAAGAATGGACCAAAAGAAATGACCCAAAATGACTTGTAACAAAGTCTGGTTCCATTGAATTACATTAGAAGTAAAGTCTGTTTTTTCCTTCACCTGTAAAGTTACCATTTTGCAGATATGAGGTTTTGTTCCGACAGCAGCGATATATAAAGACAAATGATGTATTTTTCAAATAAAATTGTATAATTAGCATGTTAAATATTGTATAATAAGAATAATAATAATAATAATAATAATAATAATAATAATAATAATAACCACAATAAGACTTTGCCTCCTGAATTAAACAAAGCCTAAATGCAAAGGCCTCAAGAATGACCACTATTGTATGACCTTTGTCAAATGGGTGTGGTGCCACCATGTGGTTGATTCTAACAATTACATGCACACAATTTCATTTCCAAATTCTACAAAACAGGTTTATTTACAGCTAGAAAAATACAGATTTTAGATATTTGTGCTCAAAATGTTTACAAATATGTAAGATTTGTTTCTGAGATGAACGTCTTTGTCAGGTTTCAGCTGCTGAGTTTCTCAGTCTGTTCACAGTGCCTGACAGAACAGGCCTCAATCTGGCACTAAGTTACTATAACAGTCACCAGCCTTAAATATGCAGTTTTATATATATATTTATTACTACTCAGAGTGAAAGTGCTGTTTAGGAGCATGTTTTATGTCATACATGGTACAGAATGTAAATATGCAGTCAGGCGATGAGGTGAATCCACTCCAGCACTCAGTACTGAACAGTCCTTCACTGTGTTTAATCCCCGGCACCAAAAAAGATTCAGACAAACTTATAACAAAGAAAGAGTTAAAACAGAAATGTGGAAGATGAATTTGAATATGAATGTGCATGTAGGAACAGAGTGTGTGGTTCTCAGGCATCAGCGTAAAACAGGAGAGGTTTAAAGTCAGGTCACTAGCGAGGCCTCTGTAAGCAGCCAACATCGTCGTACTCGCTGTCGGAGGAGTAGGGGTCCACGTCGGCGCTGACGGGAGAGTATATGGGGAAATCGTCTTCACAGCTCGGCTCCATGCCGAAACCTGAGAGAGATAAAGAAACGCAGCAGTGTTAGTCTTTCTGCAGTAAACTGGCTTTGATGAAACTGATGATGATATGCTGAAGCAGAATGTGGGGTCAGATCATTCTGACCATCTTCACTTTTCTCTCTTAGTTCTATTGTCTGTTTATACGTTTTTTGACTCTTGTTTTCTCCAATTGTGAAGGCATTTTTTCTACAGTGTGCTTTTTTCCCAACATAGAGGGGGTAGAGTGCCGTGCAAAAGTCAGAGACCACATTTCATTTACTGAATTTCAAGTCAAAACAGCCATTAAAAGGGAATTCCACTAATTTTTCAAAATTTCAGTGTAATTCAGTGTTTGAGATATAGACATCATTCAGAGTGACTTGGTGTGAAATGGTTCATTGTAGAGGCTCAGATGTCTTTACAGTGGTGGTGATAGGAGCCAGGGGTCGCCATGACTACAACACAGATATAGACATTTTATTTACTATCCAAAACCACCAGAGAACCTACATGTTTTTATATGTAATACTGATGATAGTAAAATAGTGATAAATCTGAAACAATAAGTTTTTACTGGGGACTATTTTGCCGTATAACACCCTGCATGGGTCATTTTCTTTTAGTCCATTCATCATGAAATTTACACACAATGTAAAGATTAACAGGTATTTTCAAATTATGTCAAAAATTGAACATCAGGCATGGAGATACGAGGTTTTCTTCCAACAACAGTGATATGTTTTAGGGCAAAATGCATCTCAAGATGGTCATAAAACAATGTCTCAGTTAATCAGGCAGCATATTCCTAACTATTATTACGTGTGTAGTTTTCTGTGAGAGATTTTTAGACGCATTAAACTCTCCAGATGCGTTATAAGGCAAAGTAGTCCCTTAATATGTGCCAATATTTTACTATCAACATTATATATAAAAGCTTAGACTCGTGTTGGTTCACTGGTGGTTCTGGATAGTAAATAAAATGTCTATATCTGTGTTGTTGTCATGGCGACCCCTGGTTCCTATCACCACCACTGTAAAGACATCTGAGTTTCTACAATCAACCATTTCACACCAAACCACTCTGAATCAGTCTGTTTACATCTCAACTGTTTCAGAATCCATTTCATCTTTAAGTACAAGTTATTTATTTTTCAGTTTTAGGGAAAAAAGAAACATATTTAACTCAAAATAAACTGTTAAAACAACACAAATATAATTAACATGTTTTCCTGTATTTATTAACCACTCTTTGTCTTTATTCCAGCTTCCATTCTTTTCAGGAGACTCACTTTCAGTTCCTCAAAGAATCTGCAGACACACCTCCAAAGTTCAGTCTTAGAAGCTGGTTGATCATTTTCTGCTTCTCACAATCAAAATAATCCAGATTACAAAGTTATACTCTTCAGTAAATCAAACCTTACCCCACATCTCAGGCACCCAGTTTTGGTGTCTACCAGGTCTTCCAGGTGGTTGTTGGGAGTCTCATTTTCTCTGTAGCTTTTTATCATTTCCGAACTCCAGTTTTGGAAACTCTTGTTTTTATACTTATTTTATTTTTCACTTTCTTCTCAGCAATATCTCCTGAAGAATGAATCACTTTTACTTACTGGCTGTTTTGACTGGAAATTAAAGAAAGTAATCTCTGACTTTCGGACGGTACTGTAGATAGACAGACAGACAGACAGACAGACAGCACATTTTATGAGGAGAGCAGCTCCGTCATACAGTAGTTACAGACCCTGGTTGGACATGAAGCCATTGCTCTGGTTTTGGAGTGAGTCTTCAGGCTGATTGAGCAAGTTCTCAGTACTGTAGCTGGGAGGGTCCGGATAGGGCAGCGCTGAACACAGACATTATGTTTGGAACAAAGTCAGAATCATAAAACAGTCCTAACATCATACTTAAGCTCGCCAATCTGACAGATAACAATCCCACTTATCTTTCATCTGACTACACACACACACATACACACCGGTCAGGCATAACATTATGACCACCTCCTTGTTTCTACGCTCATTGTCCATTTTATCAGCTCCACTTACTATATAGGTGCACTTTGTAGTTCTACAGTTACAGACTGTAGTCCATCTGTTTCTCTGATACTTTGTTAGCCCCCTTTTACCCTGTTCTTCAGTGGTCAGGACCCCCATGGACCCTCACAGAGCAGGTCCTATTTGGGTGGTGGATCATTCTCAGCACTGCAGTAACACTGACGTGGTGGTGGTGTGTTAGTGTGTGTTGTGCTGGTACGAGTGGATCAGACACAGCAGTGCTGCTGGAGTTTTTAAAACACCTCAGTGTCACTGCTGGACTGAGAATAGTCCACCAACCAAAAATATCCAGCCAACAGCGTCCTGTGGGCAGGAAAACTCATATATATATATATATGTGTGTGTGTGTGTGTGTAGCTGATTCACTGCTTTAAGGGTAAGAAAATGTGTAAATTTGTTTTATCTGACAATTCACGTCAGCATATTTTGAGATTTTAAACAAAAGCTTACTTGCAGTTTGCAGGTCATTTCTGTCATCTCCAGTATTTTCATAAATCTCGCTGGGGCCTGTATTCTCATAACACTCTCCCGACGAGGTGCTGGAGGTCTCAAACGAGTCCTCTACAGGGAATAAAGGGAACAGAGGTCTCAGAGCGGCCCTGTATTCAGGAACCCCAAAGTAAGTATTAAAACTAGTAAATTACGGTTATGAACAATGACCCTTCTTTGGACGGTCAGCTAATACAGAAGCACAACTGACTGTTTGCTACAATAATGATTGACACGATTGACAGTTTTTTATTGACAAGAAGGTAAAACTTCAACAGAACTCCTCAAAACAAACAGAGAGGTGTTAGTGAGGAATGTGTAATGCTTGACCCACACTATCCGGATCATCTGGAGGGTGTCTGGGTTACTCTGTTTGCTAACAATTAATAACATTACAGAATACTGGTAAGATCAGTTAGCTAGAACTAACCCAGTTAGCTTTTCTTAATTTATGTGTTGACAGTTAAATTGATAAATCCCTCAGATTAAACAGGACTATAAAGGGCTCACTTTAGTGATTAAAACATTCTGTGTAAAAGTGAAAATTAATGCACATTTTAATACTTATTTTATTGTTTCATTAAGACTTTATGTAAAAGTCGATGAGGCCTCCTTGTTGCTCTGACTAGCTCCAATGTTAGCTTTAGCATTAGCTCATCTGAAGGGGCAGCACTCTCAGCTAAACCTCCTCTTTATTAGACACGAAAACCTGCAGCTTTAACGTCGAGTAGATAAAAGATTTCCCTGCTTCGATTAATGTAAAAAATGTGTTTACAGAATCTGTTTTTTCTTTGCTTTAAATTGGCCAACAATCATATTTTGTCAGTTCTTAAACGTGTATGTCTGCACTGAAGATCATGTAAAGGCAGTTTGTTTCTGAATGAAAAGTGTTAAATGTTCTCCTCCACACAAACACACAAAACTATAAATGAGTCTCAGAGCAGAAAAGATAGTAATAATAATAATGAAACGATGGAATAATGAACTCCTACCACTCGGGGCAGCAGTGAGGCCGTGGAATGTGCCGTTGGCTGTGTAGGGCTGCTGTTGGTGTCCTCGCATTGCAGCATCACCAGGAGCCCCTGAATTTAAACATCATCAGTCAGTACAGAACAGCCCTGCTGTAATATATGAACTGTAAGTCATGTGTTGGTGTCGTGGACACGAGTAAATAAAGTGACACAAATGGGTGTTTTATTAAATCTTAAACTAGAAGGGTTCATATATGGGCCAAACTAATATTGATCAATAAATCTATCAGTCAGTCAGTCAGTCAGTCAGTCAATCAGTCAGTCAGTCAATCACTCAGTCAGTCAGTCATTCAGTCAGTCAGTCAATCAGTCAGTCAGTCAATCACTCAGTCAGTCAGCCAATCAGTCAATCAGTCAGTCAGTCAATCAGTCAGTCAGTCAGTCAGTCAATCAGTCAGTCAGTCAGTTAATCACTCAGTCAGTCAGTCATTCAGTCAGTCAGTCAATGAATCAGTCAGTCAGTCAGTCAGTCAGTCAGTCAGTCAGTTAATCACTCAGTCAGTCAGTCAGTCAGTCAATGAATCAGTCAGTCAGTAAATCACTCAGTCAGTCAGTCAGTCAGTCAATGAATCAGTCAGTCAGTAAATCACTCAGTCAGTCAGTCAGTCAGTTAATCAGTCAGTCAGTCAGTCAGTCGATGAATCAGTCAGTAAATCAATCAAATAATCAATCAGTCAATCAATGAATCAATCAGTCAATCAATGAATCAATCAGTCAATAATCAGTGAGTAAGTCAGTCAGTCAATCAATCAATTAATCAATCAAAAAATTAATGAATCAATCAGTCAGTCAATCAGTCAATCAATCAGTCAATCAACCCACAATAAAAAATTGATAACCAGTGGGATTAACTCACAATATTATTGCTGTCATAAGAAAACTTTATACTGCCTTTTTCACTTTTTGCTATAAATTGTTTGTTTAAAGTGATATTAACATGTTATTTTTTCCCTAAACAAACTCGTTCAGAGTGGTTTGGTGTGAAACGCTCTGTTCTAGAGAAACTTACCGAGTCAGAACTGTTCACAGTGGTGGTGATAGGAACCAGACGTCCACCTCTAAAAGCTCCCTCACAGAAAGTTACTACATGAAATGGTTATGAATTCACTGCCTGATGACTGAGATGCTGCAGGCAAAATAGTCCCCAAAGAAAACTTTTCCCCCCAGATTTATTGCTATTTTCCCATCATCAACATTCCATATAAACTCAGAAGACTCGTGTAGGTTCACTGGTGGCTTCTGATAGTAAATAAAATGTCTATATTTGTTGTAGTCATGGGGACCCCTGGTTCCTATCACCACCAGTGTAAAGAGATCTGCACCATTTCACACCAAATCACTCTGAATGACTCTCTTTAGATCTCAACCACTGAATTAGGAAGAAATTTTGAAAATGTAGTGGAATTGCCCTTTAAGCCATCTGACTACAGATAAAGGCACATGTTTATGACACTCCACACTCACCCTCCTCAGTCACACTATGCAGGTTGGCACTTTTTAGAGCTGGATTCCGGTTCTCCGTACTGTACCGCGTAGAGTCTGTAATCAGGAGGTTGAGCAGTTTTTACTGTAGTGCAAAAATATAGTCACAATATGTGTATAGATAACATTTGTAGTATATATTTTCACACGTCATACTGCACTAAATCCAGTTAACCAGGACTAATTGTGCTCTCTTTGTATTGAAACAAGCTGGTGTTCAGTGTTCTGGTGTTCAGTGTTCTGGTGTTCAGTGTTCTGGTGTTCAGTGTTCTGATGTTCAGTGTTCTGGTGTTCAGTGTTCTGATGCTCAGTGTTCTGGTGTTCAGTGTTCTGATGCTCAGTGTTCTGGTGTTCAGTGCTCTGCTGTTCAGTGTGTTCTTTAAGTACTGATGATAAAGGCATGTTTTGATAAGTTATTGTTAGAGTTGTTACAGTAACAATGAACTACCATCACTTTGCTCTACTTATTTTACATTTTCAATCCCTTTTTGGTCCTATAGATGAATAATAATAATAATAATAATAATAATAATAATAATAATGAAGTTTCTTTATGAAGTACTCAGTGCTGAAATAATAAAGAAAATAAAACATAAAATTATTAGTACAAAACGTAAAAAAAATGAAAACTAAAAAAATACATCAAATCATACAAGAAAAAGTGAGAAATGTTTATAATGTTAAAACAATATAAGACAATAAAGACATGCAGAGTAAATTAAATTGTAAATTATTAAATAAACAAAGGAAAACTACACAATGAAAAAAGCTTTAATAAAATACATAATTCATAATTGATTTATTTTTAATAAAAAAATTGTGTGTATATATACATATATATATATATATATATATATATATATATATATATATATATATATATATACACATATATATATATATATATACACACATATATATGTACACACACTCAACACACAATTACCAGAATATATATATAATCTAGACTCACTGCGGAAGGTGGACAGGGGGAAGGGTGTGTCCGGCCCGCTGTCACTCGGGTCATAGTCGGTGTCGCCGCTCTCAACGCTGCTCTGAGTCCACATCTGCGGGGGCATTATCTGAGCTGCAGAGACATAATTGGTACAAAGTCAGAGAACGTCGTCTTATAAGGGAGCTGATAAATATGTTCAGGTCGTTTCAGTACGCGTGTGCACTGACCGCCGAGTTGGGGTTCATTGCTGGTGACCTTAACGAGGTGGATGGCGTCTCTGTAGTTGTTCTCTTCGGCCCCTGCAGCCGTCTGTAGACTGGCATACTGCTGCTGAACCTTCAGAGCTGTGGGAGACAGAAAATGCACCGTGGCAGTTTTGGACTTTACTGACCACTGACGAATATACAGTGAAGAGGGAAATGAGTCATCACTTACATCACTTATATACATATGCACATGCCTGCTATTGTGGTCTACTTATTTAATATTTATATTTATATTTATTAATTTAACAGATGCTTTTGTCTAGTGTGTAAGCCAGACTGGTACAAAGAACAAGGAAAAACTAATTAAATAAATATTATGATAATTCATTAAGTGCAACCTTTTTGGTATATAATACACACACATTTCCCAGAACTCCTTGGGAGACCATGTGACAGTGGAACCTTCCCAATCCACCAATTACCGTACTAGTAAGTACGTACTGAGTACTAATCTGTCTCACCTGTTCTGTTCATCATGTGACCAGATCTAGCCAAGTATATAAGTTTTAGACTAGCTACTTGCGAGGTGTTGCTTCTCCTGGTAGAGCTACTGAATGTTCTTGTACATTTGTTTTTGTTATATTTGTCCTCTGTGTTTTTTTTTTTTTTTGGATCTGACCACTACTACTTACTGACTATGAGTTTTGCCAAACCCCTAACTAATAAAGCCTCAGTTCTCATTTTTAACCGTGAGCGTCTGGCTGGTTCTGTCACGTTACGCTGGACTGAAAGACTCCTTATAACTTCAGTGTGAATGGGTGGAGCTAAACTGCAGTAGGCTGAATACTCAATTATAAACAGGCTGATTCAGCAGCTGAGTTTTCATATATGGACTGTATAAACTGAGCATACAGTATAAAGTTTACATCATTCATATTATTTTAAAAAATAGAGAAAGTTTTTCATTACAGGGCCCTTCAGCATTTTTCTATAAATCTACAAATTCAAGGTCAAGGCTGTTAAAGTCCCTGTAAGCTGTTTTAGAGACACAACAGCACCGCGCTTTACGAATGAAAACCTACCTCTTTTTTTCCTAGCAAGGCAACACAAGATGACGTTTGTGATGAGCGCAATCAAAAGAGCACAGGACAGTCCGATGCAGCCCAGCAGCTCCAGAGTCCAGAAGTCTGTGGGTCCTGCTGTGGTCATTTGCACTTAGGAGAGAAAGAGTTTGCATGTAGGAGTCATCAAAAATGACAGTACTTTCCACGCAGACGGGTTGGAAGTTTGACAACACTTTCTTTTATAATCCTACAGTTCCAGGTAAGAACCAGGTAAGTGTCAAGTGCAGAACAACTAAAGTACTCGATTATCATTTCAGAGAAAATGTCTTGATGTAGCAAGACCGTGTAACTAAATTTCACTGGAATGCCAACCTACGTATTTACAGTATATGGCAAAAAGTATATGGACACCCTATTAATTATTGAGTTCAGGTGTTTCAGCCACAACCATTGCTAACAGGTGCATAGAATGAAGCCCATAGTCATGCAGTTTCCATAGAGGATCACTGGCAGTGGAATGATCGTACTGAAGAGCTCAGTGATTTTAACTGTGGCACTGTCATAGGACGCCACAAGTCAGTTCTTGAAATTTCTTCCCTGCTAGATCTGCCCCGGACAACTGTAAGTGCTATTATTGTGAAATGGAACCATCTTAGCAGGGTTGCCGAGTGCTGAGGTATATCTTCTCTATTGCATCACTCACTTCAAAACTGCCTCTGGAAGCAACATCAGCACAAGAACTGTGCGTTGAGAGCTTCACAAAATAGGATTCCATGGCTGAGCAGCTGCACACGAGCCTAAGATCATAATCGGTACAAGATATGCGTAATGCCAAATGTCAACTGGAGTGGTGTAAAACATGCCACCACTGGACTCTGGAACATGTTCTCTGGAGTGACGAATCACACTTCACTATCTGGCAGTCACATGGATAAATCTGCTTCTGGCGGATGTCAGGAATGCATAGTGCCAACAGTAAAGTTTGGTGGAGGAGGGATAATGAGCTGGGGCTGTTTTTCAGGGTTTGGGCTCTTAGTTCCAGTGAAGGGTGATGTTAAAGCTACAGCACACAAATAGATTTTAGACACTCATATGCTTCCAGCTTTGTGGGAACAGTTTGGGGAAGATCCTTTCCTGTTCCAGCATGACTGAGCCCCTGTGTACAAAGTGAGCTCCATAAAGACATGGTCTGACGAGTTTGGCGTGGAGGAACTCTAGCAGCCTGCACAGAGCCCTGACCTCAACCCCATTGAACACCTTTGGGATAAACTGGAATAGAGTGCCAGGCCTTCTGGTCCAACGTCAGTGCACTTACCTGATTAATACCTGGTACAAAAGGGACCACAATAGGGTGTAAAAATAAAATAAAGGTACAAGAACTGGTTCCAATTCTAAAGTTGAAGGTTCTTGTCACCAGTAACCCTTGTGGCTTAACCCAAACATTACTTGTTTTAATTCTAAAACAAATTAGAAGCTGCAAAGACAAAGTAAAGTTTCAGTGCTATTATTATATTATTATTTTACTACATTTTAAGTGCTCCTCTCAAAAAATACTTACCTGTTCTTAATGCAGGTGTAGTTGCCTTTGGACTGGTAGGTTGCGGCAGCCCAAGAGAATCTATGCAAAACAAAAAAACAAGTCCATTTAGTAGGTTAATAAAAATGCTGTATAAAATATAATAATAATTAAAAAAGAATTAATAAGTAATACCTTCCATATTCTACCAAACGCAATGTCTCCTAAGATATCTAAAATAGTGGTAATTCAAATGCTTGACATAAATACACAGGTTTACTTACCGCTACAAACTAATCCTGCTGCTTTATTTCCATCGCAAATCTGGTTCTTGATTGCATCAATCTCTGTACACTGCCACAGGTTTGTAAAGGTCTTTTCACACATGTAATACCAGCGCATCCCATTTTTATAGGTAAAAAGCTCTTCAAAGCCAGTGAACTGTACTGCACTCCCACAGCCCAACATGGCGCAGGCCATCGATGCTTCTTCTTTGGCCCAGGAGTCATCACATACTGTCCCCCATGATCCATTGCGATGGATCTCCACTTTGCCCGAGCAGCTGTCCAGCCCTCCGGTCAGCCTTAGAGCTTTGTACTCTTCAGAATGGGTAAGGTTTCCAGAGAGGTGAAGAAATCAGAATCAGAATCAAGCTTTATCGGCCAGGTTTGCTTACACATACAAGGAATTTGGTTTTGGTTACAGGAGCTCACAGAGCACAGAATCAGACATTTACATGTAGTGAATAAAATAAAATAAAATAAAATAAATATTAAATAAAATACAATAAAATAAGATAAAATAAAACATGCATTCCTACCATCACTCACTCATACACACACACAAACAGACCCATACACACACACACACACACACACAGTCATACCTGTAAGCTTTACATTGTGTAAGGTATGTGTCTTAAGTTAAAGTGCTGAGTGCAGCAGCAGTTAAAGAGTGTAGTGGCAAAGAAAGGGATCAGTGAGGGAACAGTCAGATAAGTGGGCTAATAATGCAGGTACGTGGGGTATCATTTAGATGAGTGGGGTAATAAGGCAGGTAAGTGGGGTAACAGTCAGTTAAGCGGGGTAATAATGCAGGTACGTGGGGTAACAGTCAGATAAGTGGGGTAATAAGGCAGGTATGTGGGGTATCATTTAGATGAGTGGGGTAATAAGGCAGGTAAGTGGGGTAACAGTCAGTTAAGCGGGGTAATAATGCAGGTACGTGGGGTAACAGTCAGATAAGTGGGGTAATAAGGCAGGTAAGTGGGGTAACAGTCAGATAAGCAGGGTAATAATGCAGGTACGTGGGGTTACAGTCAGATAAGTGGGGTAATAATGCAGGTACGTGGGGTAACAGTCAGATAAGTGGGGTAATAATGCAGGTACGTGGGGTAACAGTCAGATAAGTGGGGTAATAATGCAGGTACGTGGGGTAACAGTCAGATAAATGGGATAATAAGGCAGGTAAGTGGGGTAACAGTCAGATAAGCAGGGTAATAATGCAGGTACGTGGGGTAACAGTCAGATAGGTGGGGTAATAAGGCAGGTAAGTGGGGTAACAGTCAGATAAGCGGGGTAATAAGGCAGGTAAGTGGGGTAACAGTCAGATAAGTGGGGTAATAAGGCAGGTAAGTGGGGTAACAGTCAGATAAGTGGGGTAATAAGGCGGTAAGTGAAGTGCTAAAATAAACACTGGTCTAAACTGGTAGTTCCAGAGGATGGAGTTGACAGTTTATTGTAAATTTTACATTGATCACATAAACTATGGCGTTACAGCTTAACTAGTTAAAGGTAAAGTTTGATGAAAAATCTAATTTATGCAGTTTTCCTCCATTACTGTAAAATGTAGTCTGTTAACTACGGCCTATTAGTTGTCTGAAGTTTTCACACTGGAGCTCTGAGGCTAATGTAGCTAACAAGGAATGGATGCTTGCACTGCACCAATTAGCATGATGCTTACCGCATGCCACATCACACACTACCCTCAAACCATGTGGAGTTGCTGAATGATCCCTATTAGACTTGCTTATGTGGTTTCTGACACTGCATGACACAAAGTCATATCTGACATACTGGATGCTACTACAGCTTAAAGCTATGTGACATAGAGGAACGCGAGGATCAGCCTAACGTGGGGCATCATTTAACACGGGCTTTTTATGTTCTTTTACTAGTTCAAGCAGTGAATGCTTTTAGCCACATTACCACATTTTCTAGCCACAGTCTCCCACCAAAATTCAGTAGGACTGGCCAGCATTTTAAAGAGGTCTGTGCCAAAGAGTGTTTTCAGGGCATGTAAGTCACTTTTTGTCCGGTTACTGAGCTGTTTTTGTAAATCTCAAAATCCAACCTTATATTACTTCAATCACCATGCAGCACCGTTTTGAAGCAGCGAGTGCAGCTGGGCTTAAGTTCAGCCTCCGTACTGCGGGGTTAGTTCTTACACAGCGTTACAGCTCAGACACCTTTAGTAAACAAACAAGCAAATTTTGTCTTTTTGTTGTTTGTTTAAAATGAAAAAGAAAAATCGGACTTTCTTCTACTTTATTAGGATCTTTCGGACGTCAGTATTTCAGTTGTAAATAAGTATATTAATGAATTTGACAGTAACAGTTGGTAAAGCTGTAGTAATTCAGAAACAATGTTCATATTTTACTGATGTGTGATGTTTTTATTTGCTGTCCTTCACTGGACAAACAAAACATCTTTGACACACAGCCTCATGTCAGTTTTCATATATAATTTGATGTGTGTGTATCTATCAGCTGATCTGTCTGTCTTATAAATGATAATATATCATGCAGTACAGCTGGAAAATATATTTGTTTCTTACAACATAGAATTATATTGTATGTATATTGTACATTAGTTTGCACTAATTCATCAGACTTTTAGAAGGAGTGTTAAACTGACCCTCTGTCTGTTACAGTGAACTCACCCATGGGCTGCTTAAGCAATAGAAGACAAGAGGGAGTGTGTTATCGCGAAATAACATTATGGTTGTGATTTGGTCACTGTAGATCATCACAGCCGTGATGTTATAGCGATAACACATGACCTCGAGTGTTCTATTGATTTTATACAACAGTTACATAAATAAAGTAAGAAAAAATAAACTGGGCCGTGAACGTGGCAGTCTGCTGTAAGTACAGACTGAGGCATAAAATTGCTGCAATATCAGGTTCAGCTCAGTTTTGTCAGTTTTTGCTGGATCAGTATTAATGTTGTTTTGTTCCAGTCAGTCTGTAAAGCATCTTACAGCCCATTTAGTTTGGCGAATGGTGTTGGGTTCATTTTTTGGCTGATTCCAGGTTGTTCAGGTGTCACAGCTGCCGACTGAAAAGCTGCTCAGTGGTGATGACAGTTTGGGAATTTAGTGTAGTCTTATCTTCAGAATCTGACCAAGAGGTTAGGCTTAGATCAATGTTTGGTGTTAGGGAAAATGAAGGTGAATTATTAGAGGAATGCAAGTTCAATGCAAGATAAGCTTAGACCATCTATCACATCATACCTGAACACACCACTCCAGCATCCTCTTTATGTCCACAGTCATGGTGGTCCTTCACTGCAGGACACTCCCATAGACTCCTCTCTTTTCCTGTGCAGTTCAGCTCGTCCAGGTGAATTGGCCCTCTGCCCTGGCCGTACGGCTGACCCTGCCCCGAGACTGAGATGGCGTATCCACAGCCCAGCTGAGCACAAACAACATCAGCGTCCTTTTTGTCCCACTCGTCATCGCACACTGTGCCCCACTGACCCCCTCGCCACAGCTCCACGCGCCCACCACAGCGATGGCTTCCTCCACTCAGTTGGGCCAAGCGGTTACCTGGAGCGACGCACACAAGGGTCAGTCAAATCCTATTCAACATCCTGCTGGTTTGTTTTATTTGGAAAACCCATTAGTGCTGTTTCCAGCAAAGAGGCTCTAACTACAAGGCTGTGTCCAAAACCTCAGGCTACCATACTAAACATACTAATGAATTTTAATGCAATTTGTGTACTTAATGTACTATTTTTTGACATACTATTTAGTATAGTATGTAGTATATACTTCATAAGGCCCGTTTCTTGCTCAGGTGACTGTTTATGCTGCTTATAGCAAGAAACGGCCCTGCAGCTAATAAGCAAAGCCTTACTGAACTCAAATAAGAATGGTACGGCCTACTGAGTATGTTGAATCCGCCTAAGTGAGCAAAAAGAGCCCTCTGATTGGTTGTTCAGCCCAGCAAATCAGTGAATCCACCATTTCAATCCAGGTTTTAACAAGTCCTCGCCTGCTGGGCCTCAGGAGAATCCTTGCCACCATCTTAAGGGCTGGTCTGTTACTTTATAAGCTCAAGTTAAGTCTGTTAAATGAGCCCTTGAGGGATCAAGAGAACACCAGTTGCCCAGAAATCATTGCGTCGTATGACGTTTCCCTTCTCAAGCCTGAAAATAATGATGGAGAGACGTTATAAAGGAGGAGACCTGCACTTATTGAAATATGAACGGGCTTATAAGCTCATAACACTCAACATGGTGTCTGTTTGCGAGGAAAGTCCCGCTCTTCAACAAAAAGAGCCAATCAGCCTGCTGTTTAAGCTGCAAGCAGGAAAAGCACCTCATTGTGGAGATCTGCGTAGGCGTAGGAGCCAGAGCACGCTGAAAATTATGGTTTTTGCATGTTATTTGAGCCAAACGTTGCAAATTATTTCTGCTGTTTTTGTCAGATTTTATCACTGATTTCAATTATATATTTTAAACGTTAAATTGGCTTGTAGTTTCAGTTTTATAGGTCTCTCCCCATTCTAACAAATAAGAGCCTGGTCTTGTTTGGCTTGAAATAGTTCAGGTCATGTCTTCAACACGGTGGTGGTAGTATGAGGGAAGACTGACTGAGGGAGGGAGGAGAACTCTGAGAACTTGGGCTGGACTTCTGGGCAGCTTCTGCCTGTAGATAGAAGGACAGACCCCCTCATAGCTGTAGTACTGAGCACTGAGGAGCAGGGAGGAGACGGGGTGGCGGTGGGGATCGCGAACCTTTCATCACAGGAATGGAAGGTGAGGATGTGAATTTATGTGGCGTTAGATTGGAAGAAGGGGGGGTTTCAGCCATGCTCCTCCCCCCAAACTTCAGTTATAACATAACTACATGAATTTTCCTAAAATGCTTTAGACTTTTTTACCACTAGAATAAAACATTTAAACATGAAAGTTACACAATTAGAGATGCATGTTTTTCTTTGGACAGCTACAATATCTGTTTTCTCTCACCTACAACCTTCCTCAGACCTAAAGTACTCCTCCATTAGGTGTTTCCTATATCCCATGTAGTGTTATCTATCTTTCTATTACAGTGTTTTCTTGTTTGTTTTGATGTTCTGTGCGCTGCTTTGGCTGTGAGTATCTTTTGGGTTCTTGTAAAGTGCTTTGTAAGTATCATATTTTTATTCAATTCACATAAGAGCATCATATAATCACTACATCAAAAAAATCATAACTGATCAAGTAAAATGATTTTAACCCTCTATTGCACGATGTTGCCTCAGGGCAACAAACTCATTTTCCTCACTTTACAATAACGTACATACATACAATACATATTTAAAGACGATGATAGGGTTAGCGATAAAGGGAAGAGTTTGAGTAAGTCAATAAAAAGCATGTACTTGGTCATAATATCTCTTATTGGGCACTTTTAAACTTTTTAAACATTCAGTATCAGTTTTTTTTGTCATGAGATTTTGTAGAAATGTGTTTGTTGCCTAGAAGCAACACTGTGTGACATTGGAATGGATTTAGCCAGTCACAAGTCAGGTCTCACCACTTCAGGGAACACAGCTCTGTATAATTTTTTCCCATTGTCACACATTGTTGCCTCAAAAGATTAAATCAAGGACCAATTTATGCAAGAAAAGTGTTTTTTTTTTTTAATTGCTCTCATAATGCGTGCAGTAGAGGGTTAATTCTAGTCGATACATCTAATATTTCTTATTTTGAGATGGTTGTGCACTTATTATAAGATTATCGGGCTTATTTCGAGACACTTTTACTTGTTTTAAGTAATTTTATTGAGTAAAATTGTCTCACTATATTGGCAGATAATTTTGCTGGTTTCAAGCACATTTCTTAAAACAAGCAAAATTATCTGACAACGTAGTGAGATAAATTTACTTAATAAAATCACTTCAAACAAGTACAAAATGTAAAGAAATAAGTCATATAATCTTAAAATAAGCTTACAACAATCTCAACAGAAGAGAAGTTAGATTTATTGACCTGATTAAAGATCATTTTACTCGACAAGATGCCATTTTTCAAATTAACTCATTAATCAATAAACAAATCTGTCAGTTCAAGTGTTTGAGTGGTGCTTCTGGTGCAGCGTCAGGAAACGCTGTATCAGACTGTGATGCTCCTGCCTACAACATCGAGATAATGAGCCATTAACACGTAGTTACACCCAGACATTGTTCATGGCTTACCGCATTCCACTGTAGAAAGCTGTGTGCAGTCGCTGCTAACCACCGTGGAGCAGTTCCGCAGGTGGAAGTTGTGGTAGAAGCAGCCTGTGAGGCAGGTACTGTTAGGCGGCGCTTTGGTTCTGCTCTGTGGAAGTGCATCTCCACAGCCGAGACTCTGACAGACCTCGCTGGGCAGTCTGCGCGCATCCTCTTCGGTCAAAACAACGGCCTGTTCGTTTTCCGGAGATCTGAGATTCCAGACGCAGTAGCCGGTCGCTGCGGTGATGTAGGGAGCAGCTGTGAGGAAAAGGTTTAAATGAGTTAAAATGTTCATAAAGCACTTTTTACAAGACATTGGACCTCATTAATCAGATTCATCGAAGTTGCATAGAAATGAGGGCAGGATGGAGCCCTCAGACTGACCTCCCAGACAGCAAGCATATATCGGCAGAATGGATATTTGTGATAATAAACAAAAAACATTTAGTGAGTTCAGATCATGCCTTCAACATGGTGGTGGTAGTATGAGGGAAGATTGATTAAGGGAGGGAGGAGAACTCTGAGAACTTGGGCTGGACTTCTGGGCAGCATCTGCCTGTAGCAAGAAGGACAGACCCCCTCATAGCTGAAGTAGGACTGATGTAGGGCTGTGGAACAGGGAGGAGATGGGGTGAGGGTGGGGATTGTGAACCCTTCATCACAGGAATGGAAGGTGAGGATGTAAATTTGTGGAAGCGCATCTTCCCAGCAGAGACTCTGACAGACCTCAATGGGCAATATGCGCACGGCCTCTTCGGTCAAAACAACGGCCAGTTCATTTTTGGAGATCTGAGATTCCAGACGGAGCAGCTGGATGCTGTGGTGATGTAGGGAGCAGCTGTGAAATTAGGTAAATTAGTTCAAGCGTTTAAAAAGCACTTTTTACAAGACATTGGACCTCATTCATCAGATTCATCGAAGTTGCACAGAAATTAGTGCAGAATGGAGCCCTCAGAGTGACCTCAGAGTGACCTCCCAGACAGCAAGCATGTATTGGTCCGCTGGTTTGAAAAGGTCGGCACCCCACTGCTGGTTCTCCCCCTCAGACCGCCCAGATTATTGTCCTGCACACAAGCTCTAACTGGTTTTTAAACTCCTCGAACAGATTTTAAATGCACAGAGACTTTTATTTTAGAAAATAAACTTGCACAAATTTTACAAACAACCGAGAGAAAAAAAATTAATGACTAGGCCTGATATAAAATGATTCTATAGATAGTGTTGTTGCCGACACTGAGCTGGATTAAAAACATTCACTAAACTGATTTACAAAGTACAACTAAAGAAAGGAAGAAAGGAAAAATCAGTGAATTGGACTGTGAGGGAAAATCAGTGATGATAAGTGGACTTGTGTCTAATACTCTGCTTAACTGCCACTGGACCGCCAGCTTTGCCATTAGCTGGCCGACAGTGGACCACTGTCCTCTTGCTATCAGGGCTGTTATTTACAAATCATATCAAACGATACGCCCAGTTTACTCTCATATAAACTGAGAGTTGGTATGAGCCAATTAAAGGAAAGCGCTCAGCATACAACTAGAACGAACCGCCAAAAGATCTTAGATGTGCTCAAAATTTATTGATTTTTAACATTCGATGTAATTAAGACTTTAACAGCACATTACCTTCAACCTGCTAATTTAAATTACACTTAAATTGCACCCATTTGTTTCCTTTTTATGTTTTTTTTATTTTGCTTTTATCTTTTTCTCTTTCCTTTAATGATGTTTTATTTATTTATTTATTTTTCTCTCAATCCTTTTAGCCTTTTATTTTTGTTTTATATTGTTTCTCATTCTTAAGCACACTTTGTCATTATTTTTCCTTTTGATGTTCTTCTTGCTGTTAATTATATAAAGCACACTGATTGCCTTTGTAAATGAAAAGTGCTACATTAATAAGCTTGTCTTGTCTTGCCTAAGGTCTTCTAGGACATTTCTCAGATGGTTAAAATATTCCTCTCAAATTTAAGCCACACACACTCTGACCAGGCAGAGTTTAACGGAGCTGTGTGTGGAATTTTCATGCAATTATTTTGTTAGCAAATTTTACACAACTTGATGAATCAGACATTGTCCCATAGCGGCTTTAACAGAGCTCCGCAATGGGACAAACTCCCTAAGAACATGAGGAGGAACCAAGACTAAAAAAGGAGGAGGAGACACTCAGAGGAACTAAGATTCAAAATTAGCACCTACCTAAGAACATGAGGAAGAACCACTGAAAGGAACCGAGACTCAAAAGGAAGAATGTCCTAAGAGCTTGTGGTAGAATCACAGAAGAGAACCGAGATCAAAAAGGAAGAACCTCTTTAAGAGCTTGAGGAAGAATCACTTACAGAAACCGAGACTCAAAAGGAAGAACGTCATAAGAGCATGAGGTAGAATCACAGAAAAGTACCGAGATTAGAAAGGAAGAACCTCTTTAAGAGTTTGAGGAAGAATCACTGAGAGGAACCAAGACTCAAAAGGAGATCCACTTGAAGAGCATGAGAAAGAACCACTGAGAGGAACCAAACTTCAAAAAGAAGAACTTCCTAAGAGCATGAGGAAGAACCGCTGAGAGGAGCCAAGACTTATAGGAAGAACCTCTGAAAGAGTATGAGGAAGAACCACTGAGAGGAAACAGGACTTAAAAGAAAACCTCTGAAAGAGTATGACAAAGAACCACTGAGAGGAACCAAGACTCATAAGGAGAACCTCTCTAAGAGTATGAGGAAGAACCACTGAGAGGAACCAAGACTTAAAAGAAAACCTCTGAAAGAGTATGAGAAAGAACCACTGAGAGGAACCAAGACTCATAAGGAGAACCTCTCTAAGAGCATGAGGAAGAACCACTGAGAGGAACCAAGACTCATAAGGAGAACCTCTCTAAGAGCATGAGGAAGAACCACTGAGAGGAACCAAACTTCAAAAGGAAGAACCTCCCTAAGAGCATGAAGAAGAACCACTGAGAGGAACCGAGATTCAAAAGGAGAACCTCTCTAAGAGCATGAAACAGAACAACTAAGAGGAACCAAGACTCATAAGTGGAACCTGTTCTTCTCTGGTCTGCGATGAATGGTGTGACAGTAGTTCCAGTGTAATGTGCACCTTATGATTTCAGTATTAATAGTCAGACTCGAGCATGAGCACAATAGCTGAGCTGAGTTGTTATGATAATGTGAGTAATTAGCAGAAAATATAGAGCTGAGAACAAAGAACCGGGGAACGGAACATTCTTAAAAGAGTTCTCCCAGTACTGTTTTTCAACCTTTCTTTCTTCTACAGCTGTGGAACCTGTTCTTGCCACAGACAGCCAGTTTGACTCATTTCCCTTTAGTAAAAAAACAGAAAACATAAAAAGTGTTTAACAGAAGCTGAAGCGACTGAAGCGACTCCCCACTGGCTGCTATTATAAGAGCATTTGGAGTCTGAAATGATGGTCTGTGTGTCAAGGTGAGCGACTTTGACCTCAAGTGAAGAGATGAGTTTGCTACACGGACACATCCAGGTGAGTTCCAGTGCTACTTGTCGTTTACTGAAGTGTTCACACACGAAGAAAAGTATTTACACTCTCAAGAAGAGTTTAACAAGCTAAAGTTCAGCCTAGTGACTCTGTCGGCTCCCCAGTCAACATCCGGAGTCACTCAAACTCCAGCCTAGTCAAGTCCTAAAATGACCGTCACAGTTCTGTACGTTTACATGTCTTATATTCCCCAGTAAGTATTGTTCAGCTGACTTTAATCTTACTCCCTTTCTCTCTACAGATTCTCCTTTGCTGACCATCTCCCAGGGTCACTGTGGATCCTGCCAGTTTCTAGAAGTGGACAGGTTCAGCAGCACCACCATTCCAGCAGGAGTTAAGGTAAGCATACACACCTCTTTCTATAGAATACATTTGATATACAACCCCTTTTCCAAAAAAGTTGGAACGCTGTGCAGAATGTAAATAAAAATAGAATGCAATGATGTGCAAATCATGTAAACCATATTTTTAAAGGAAAATACTACAAAGACAACATATCAAATGTTGAAACTGAGAAATTTTATTGTTTTTTGAAAAATATATGCCCATTTTGAATTTGATGCCAACAACATGTTCCAAAAAAGTTGGGACGGGGGCCTGTTTACCACTGTCTTTCATCACCTCTTCTTTTAACAGCACTCTGTAAGCGTTTGGGAACTGAGGAGACACTGCTGTAATTCTGAAAGTGAAATGTTTTCTGTTCTTGTTTGATGTAGGATTTCAGTTGCTCATCAGTTCAGGGTCTCCTTTGTTGTATTTTTCATTTCATAACCCTCCAAATGTTTTCAGTGGTGACAGGTCTGGACTGCAGGCAGGCCAGTTCAGCACTTGGACTCTTTTAATATGGAGCAATGCTGTTATAATACATGCAGGATGTGGTTTGACATTAAGGCCTTCCCTGAAAAAGACGTTATCTGGATGGCAGCATATGTTGCCAAAACACGTATATATCATTCAGCATTAATGGTGCCTTCACAGATGTGCACCCCTATACCATCATGAATACTGGCTTTTGAACTGTGCACTGAGTGGTCAACAAGCTGATTGGTCAACAAGCTGAGTGGTCTTTAGCCCGGAGGACACAGTGTCTATGATTTCCAAAAAGAATTTCAAATGTTGATTCGTCAGACCACAGGACACTTTTCCACTTCCCCTCAGTCCATTTTAAATGAGCTCGGGCCCAGAGAAGGTGGCAGCGTTTCTGGATCCTGTTTATATTTAGTTTCTGCTTTGCGTTTTAGAGTTTTAACTTGCATTTGTGGATGCAGTGGTGAACTGTATTCATAGACAGTGGTTTTCAGAAGTGTTTCTAAACCCATGCAGTGATTTCCACTACAGAATTAGGTCTGTTTTTAATGCAGTGCCGCCTGAGGGTCCAAAGATCACGGCCAGCAAATTCTGTTTCATTGGCCTTGTCACTTGCATACAGAGATTTCTCCAGATTCTCTGAATCTTTTAATGATATTACGTATCGTAGATGATGAAAAGCAAATGTTCTTTTGCTGTTTTATGTTGAGAAACATTATTCTTGAATTGTTGCACTATTTTCTCGTGCAGTCTTTCACAGAGTGGTGAACCCCTCCTCATCTTTACTTCTGAAAGACTCAGCCTCTCTGAGAGACTCTTTTACTGACCTGTTGCCAATCAACCACCAGGTGTTTTCTGTTATGAGCCTTTTGTTGCCCCCCGTCCCAACTTTTTTGGAAAGTGTTGCTGGCATCAAATTCAAAATGGCCATATATTTTTCAAAAAACAATAAAATTTCTCAGTTTCAACATTTGATTTGTTGTCTTTGTACTATTTTCAATAAAATATAAGGTTTAAGTGATTTGCATATCATTGTATTTTGTTTTTATTTACATGTTGCACAGCGTCCCAACTTTTTTGGAGACGGGGTTGTATCATATGTGATTAACAGTCCGGCTGACGAGTCAGGCCCCTGTGATATCATCACACTGTGAGAGTCAGTCGTGTGCTTCACATACAGCTGACAGATCAGCCTGAAAAACGAGTTCATATAAAGTCTGTATTATTCAGTAACACAACAGGCAACAGACATTTCAGTGCTTAGTTTTATACGGAAGCCACTCCCACAGATTCCCATTGCCTTCTTCTCCTTCTCCATTTCTGACAGCAGTATGTCTCTATAGTACACACACACACACACGCACACACGCACACGCGCACACACACACGCACACACGCACATGCACACACGCACACCCACACGCACGTTTTCTAAACCACTTATCCTTCTGGGTCGTGGGGAGAGCTGGAGCCTATCCCAGCAGCCATTGGGCAGAAGGCAGGAAACACCCTGGACAGGTCTGTCTCTATAGTAAGTGTATTAAATATGTTTAATATGTCAACATATTAAATAAATATAATTACTTATTTTCTAGAAATACTGACTTGCTATGATATTATGTCAAAATAATTAGTTGTTGGATTTTAAGGAGGTGAGTAATTATTTAAGGATAATAAATATAATGACATTTTTCAGTGTTTCAAGAAAATAAATAATTATTGCAGAATATTGAGTAAATGTTTAGAGAAAATAAGTAATAATTTCAAGAAACTAGGTCACATTTAGAGAAAGTAAGTCATGATTTCAAGATATTAAGTCAATATTTAGAGAAACTGTCATTGTTTAAGACGTTCAGTAAATATTTAGAGAAAAGAAGTCATTATTTCAAGATAGTAAGTCAATATTTAAGAAAAGAACACATTTAAAGATATTAAATTAAGATTTACAGAAAATAAGTAATTATTTCAAATATTAAGTAAATAAATACATAAACTAAGTCATCGTTTCAAGCTATTAAGACAATATTTAGAGAAAAAAAGTTTTTTAAATATGCTAATTTTGAGAAAATTTGAGATATTAAGTCATAGAGATATTAAGTAATTCAAAAGGAAAACCTCTTTAAGAGATTGAGGAAGAACCACTGAGAGTCAATATTTAGAGAAAATAAGTCATTATTTCAAGCTATTAAGTCAATATTTTGTTATTTGTTTTAAGATGCTAATGTTGAGAAAATGTGAGATATGAAGTCAGAGATATTAAGTTATTTTGAGACGTTAAGTCAGTATTTTGAGTAAGTATTTTGACACACCGCTGTCAGAAAGCCTGGTGGGGATGGTTTATTGTCTAAATGTGAAATCTTCCTGTGTGACATACTCACTGGTGCATCGCTGTGTTAATATGATTCTTCTTTGTTCTTAATCTGCATGACAATCTCTCAATCAGAGCAAAACATCTTGAAGAAACCCCTCAGCTCTTACCGCAAATGACTTCAGATACGGCTGTGCAGCTGCCCCCAGCAGCCTGACTGCAGTTGTTCAGCATGTCTTTGTGGTAGATGCAGCCTGTAAAGCAGCTCGCATTGGGGTCTGCAGCGCTGCTGATAATCTTGTAGACTCTTCCGCAGCCCAGAGTCTGACACACATGAGCAGCGAGGGGGTCCAGAGACTCCTTTGTGAAGACAGCCGAACTCTGATTCTCTCCTCTAGAGCTCACCGTCCAGGAGCACGGCCTGGAGGTCTGGGAGACGTACAGATTAGCTGGAGGAAGACAAAATGATGAAATCAGTTCCCCTCATTTATTAATACAGAGCTTATAGTTTAGTTTTACAGTAGAATTCATAGTAGTTACTGAACAATTCATAAATATACTAAATAACATACAGTAGTTACTGGACAACTCATAGTAGCCACTGCATAGTAAATAATTACTGGATAATAAGAGTAGATTCTAATAATAGTTTACACTGGACAAGGAAGATATTGAATTCTTAGTAGTTACTGAATTATTCATAGTAGTTACATAATAATTCACACTAGACTAAAAAAATCTTGAAGTTACTAAATACTTTGTAGTAGGTACTGAATAATTAATAGTAGGTACTGGAGAATTCATAGTAGATACTGAAGAATTCATAGTAGATACTGAAGAATTCATGGTAGATTCTGAATAAGCTATAGTAGTTACTGGATAATTAATAGTAGATACTGAAGAATTCATAGTAGATACTGAACAATTCATCGTAGATTCTGAATAAGATGTAGTAGTTACTGGATAATTAATAGTAGATACTGAATAATTCATCGTAGATTCTAAATAAGGTGTAGTAGTTACTGGATAATTAATAGTAGATACTGAATAATTCATCATAGATTCTGAATAATTCATAGTAGATACTGAAGAATTCATGGTAGTTGCCAAATAATTCATAGTAGTTGCCAAATAATCCATGGTAGATTCTGAATAAACTATAGTAGTTACTGGATAATTCATAGTAGATACTGAATAATTCATCATAGATTCTGAATAAGCTATAGTAGTTACTGGATAATTCATAGTAATTACTGGATAATTCATGGTAGATACTGAATAGTTAATGGTAGATACTGAATAATTCATAGTAGATACCGAAGAATTCATAGTAGTTGCCAAATAATTCATAGTAGTTGCCAAATAATCCATAGTAGATTCTAAATAAGCTGTAGTAGTTAATGGATAATTCATAGTAGATACTCAATAATTCATAATAGATTCTGAATAATTCATAGTAGTTACCAAATAATTCATAGTGGATTCTGAATAAATTATAGTAGTTACTGGATAATTAATAGCAGATACTGAATAATTCACAATAGATACTGGATAACTATTAATAGAGACTGAGAACTTCGTTGTAGTTACAAAATAATTCATAGTAGTTACTGAATCATCAACTATTGTTTACGCCGTTCGAAAACACCGCCTCAGAAATGGTCCAACATTACTTGGAAAAAAATCATACATTAAAAGTTATTATGCAGATTTTCAGATCTTTGATGAGTGTTTGAGTGTTAATATTTAAAGTTTATCATTGTTGCTGAAATCGCACTTTGAAATGTTATCTCCAAATCTATCTCCACATGAGCAACAGAGCAGCAGAGTGATGTATTCAGCAGTGCCTACGCCCAAACCTTCGGCTGCTGCGCGAAACAAAAGGTTACAGTGGAAGAGCGATTGCACCTGCAGCAGTTCTTAAAAGAGTGCAACACACCACAACATCACTGCCACATCCTGTCACTAACTTCACTATGTGAGAACAATACTCACAGCAAAAAAAAGCAAAAAATTCAATAAAAACTCCCTGCACTGCAGAAGACTGCTGTATGCCTCAGGGTCACTTCAGGCCACGAGTGGCGGTCAGTCTTTATTTTCAATTTATACTACAGAAATGAACACGTTTTGGCCCTGACTTATGGTTTTCCACAGTCTTATTCTTTATCTCTTTGTTTCTTTGTTTCTTTGTTAACGACAGCCGTACACATTTAAAGTTTGACTCACGCTCTTTGCCGTCCGGAGATTTTGGGGTGGTGAGATTCTGAAGTGCTGAAAAATAAGCCGCACAAAAATTTCCATAATGAAATTAATCATTTTTCACATTATAATGCAAGTCATAGTCTAATCTCAAGCACAGTTGTGGGTTACCAGTTTATCTAAACAAGGCACCAGGTTGAACCACAACACTCATGTTTCTGAACAGCCTGTTAGCTGCCACTGGCCACTGAACGACCACATTTAAAGCCCTTTACACAGCGACGAATGCAAACGCACATGCAGTTACATGAGACTCACATGTACAGCACTGTGCAAAGTCCACCCTTCATTTACTTCTTCCATTCAGAACAGCTATTAAGTCCAAGTTATTCACTTGTCAGACACAACAGAAAAACATTTGCAAACCGCCCCAAAGTCCAGACCTCAACACCACTGAATGCGGGGTTACTTCAATTGTAAGAAGCCGAAAATTAAACCAACTTCTAAGACTGAACTTTAGAGGTGTGGAGAAATATCCCTGCAGATTTCTTTGGGAAACTGACAGTGAATCTCCAGATATATTTAATTATTGAGGCTTTTGGGCAGTTTTCTGTTAAATAGGCTACATGTTTTCTCCCGAAAAATGAATAATGGCTATTTTGACTGGACATTACATAAACAAAGAGTGGTTTCTGACTTTTGCACAGTGCTGTTTCTATGTGTATTTGTAACAATACAATGGAAAAAGTCTGTGACATGGTAAAATATGAGATACACATTAGATAAATATGTTGTATCTAGCATCAAATTTCTAAATACATACATATATGAAGCAATTATATGTGTAGATACATTAGTTACTCATTATAAGGACATTTGATGCCTCATACATGAACATATACTCAAACTAACCTCACACAAAACTATATAAAATAATCAAAATATTCTGTTTCAGCCAACAAAGCACTTTTTGTAAGTTGCTCTGAATAAGAGTGTCTGCTAAACACCAATGATATCATCCACACATTAACAGTATTATGTATTCTACTATGTATTCTGTTCTTCTTGGAAAAGGTTTTACATTTTAAAGGTGTGGAAATAAATGAAAGGGAGAAGAGAAGTCCTCGCCTCAACTATTCACCCAGAAAACAGTGTAAAGTACAGGAACAAAGTCTTTATTAATGCATAAGCTGACAACAAGCACACAAATAAAAAGATATAATGGATAATAAGGTACAGACCTTCACAGCAGACGAGAGCTTGAAGGACCACCACGATCCTGAAGGCCTCCATTCTTCATGAGTCGAGTCCTCACGCTTTCGAAACGGAGAGCATCATGATCGAGAAGAAGGAGAACACGACAGATACAGTCTCCTCCAGTCTGCAACCTCCTTTCATTCACCTCCACGTCATGTGACGTGGCAGAAAAGTGGTGAAAAAAAGTGTTAGTCAAAGTTTGTGAGCACCTGCTTGAAACCAGATTTGCTGATTATCTGCACTTTAAACTTTGTAAACTTATATACTGTATAACTTAAACCTATAAGTTTACCTAAATGTTTTTAAACCTATATGTAATATATATAGTAAACCTATATGTTTTTGATTAAACAGATAATCATAACACAGTTGTGTTACATTTTAAATTAAAATTTAAATGAATGTTATTTTTATGATTATGAATAAAAACAAGTCCAAATGACTTAGAAGTCCAGCAAGACATGTGGTGTGATTTCCTCCCTGTTAACCAGACGCATTGAGTCTGAAGGAGAATTCCACCAAATTTTCCACAATTTCGGCACAATACACTAACATAAATAAATAACAAGTAGGTCGTTCAGAGTGGTTTGGTGTGAAATGGTTCAGATGTCTTTACAGTGGTGGTGATAGGAACCAGGGGTCGCCATGACTACAACACAAATATAGACATTTTATTTACTATCCAAAACCACCAGTGAACCTACACGAGTCTTCTGAGTTTTATATGGAATGTTGGCGATGGTAAAATAGTGAAAATCTGGAAAAAAAAAAGTTTTCTTTGGGGACTTTTTTGTCTGCATGTCCTCTTCGCCATGAATACATTTTTAAGAACACGTTTTAGACCTTCTCAAAACTGCCGTAAAACAGTGTCTCAGTCATAAGGCCGTGAATTCATAACCATTTCATGTAGTAACTTTCTGTGAGGGAGCTTTTAGAGGTGGACGTCTGGTTCCTATCACCACCACTGTGAACAGTTCTAACTCTAGAACAGAGCATCTCACACCAAACCACTCTGAGCGTCTCTGTTTACACCTTAACTGTGTAATTCTGCAGAAAATCAGTGGAATTCCCCTTAAAGTGAAGCGGGGTGTATTTATAGGAATCCAAGATTCAGAGACAGTGTTCATTTGACGTTTACTCATTTTACTGTTTTCATTTTCAAATGTTTACGCACATTTATGATATCAAACTCTTATGAAAGGAGGTTCCAGCAAGTGTACTTTGACTGATTCTGTTTGTCTTTGAGGCAGACAGCATTTGTAGTTTACACAAGCACAAAATAACATGATATACAGTGCAATAACCTAAATAATAATAATAATACAAATACTACTACTACTACTACTAATAATAATAATAATAATAATAATAATAGTTATAATAATAATAATAAATAATCAAAAGTAAAGCTTCTTTTTGTGACTGTGTCCTCTTTGTGCAATTAAAGAAGTCTGGAAGGGGGATTAATCAACAGATTAATCAACTGAAAGAAGAGTTACACAGATTTTTCAAAAATTCTGTATAATTAAGTGGTTGAGACGTAAACAGAGTCGTTCGGAGTGGTTTGGTGTGAAATGCTCTGTTTCAGAGAAACTTACCGAGTCAGAGTAAGTGACAGTGGTGGTGATAGGAACCAGACGTCCACCTCTAAAAGCTCCCTCACAGGAAGTTATTACATGAAATGATTATGATTTTCTGATTGTTTTAAGAAGGTTTTGGACTAAAATATATTTCTAATATACATTAATGGTGGAGGGATACATGCAAGGTGTTGTGTAGCAAAATAGTCCTCAATAACAAAACAGATTTTCAGATTTACCATGACTCAACATTAGGTAGGTTCACTGGTGGTTTTGGATAGTAAATAAAATGTCTATATTTGTGTTGTAGTCATGGCGACCCCTGGTTCCTATCACCACCACTGTAAAGAAATCTGAACCATTTCACAGCAAACCACTCCGAATCACTCCATTTGCATCTCAAACACTGAAACATACAGAAATTTTGAAAAAACATCACAAGGTCAAGCCTGTCCAATAGGAGGAGAGGAAAGGAACATTCATATACAGTCCTCTCTTTGGGCTAAGCTCATCCAGCTTAGCATGAGAGATCCTGCTTTGAAGCATGTCCCCGGACGCTCAGTGTCATTTGCAATGATGTGACTTAACAGTGTCAACAACATGCATTTTCTCCAGATGAGCTCCAGGGGGCGCTGTTGTTCAAATTCCATTTACCTCTAACAGTCATAGTTGCCTTTTGTCTTCATATAAAACTAGATTGCTCTGCTTATGCTGGTGCCAAACTACAGCACAGGGCAGGCACAGTGTGTTTATTTTTTTTATGCTGTAAATAAATAATAAATTAGTCACATGTCATTTTGTGTGTGCCTATTTCAGCATTTCACCTGCTGTTCCAGATTAAGAATTAGGATCGAGGTCAGGTCAGAGTGGTTTGGGGTGAAACATTCTGTTCTAGAGTCAGAAATGTTCACAGTGGTGGTGATAGGAACCAGACGTCTGAAGAATTTAATGCCTCTAAAAGCATGTAAATGTATATATGATCTAGTAAGAGAGACTGTAAGAGCTCTCACAACTGTTTGATTAATAATGCTAATTAAAGGCTAATCATAATAACCACATAGCCTCACAAGATATGAATGCAGTAAGCCTAAACGAGGATTCAGGTACTACAGTGGTTCCCAAACTAGGGTACATGTTGCTAAATGATGTTAGGGCTTTGAAAAATTCTGACGTTTACAAACCAAATTGACAGTCTTTATTTTTTGGAAAGTGTTGTATACTGTTAATTAATTCGTTTTTGAACGCGGCGTATGTACAAAAACAAAGAGAGGATTTTTTAAAAAAAGAAAGTATATCTGTTTTTAAGGCGTGTGTAAAGCTTGTAAGTTTACTTGAGTTAGTTTCATGTTCACAGATACAGTTTATAGTTATAGTTTAGCGAGAAAGTTACACAGACGTTCCTTTTTCCAGACGGTCACATCAGTCACTCTGCTCAATAAAAGTAATTTATAAAAGTGCACGATATGTTTGTTTATCCTCAACAGTATTCTGACTTGTGACTAGGCCACAGTTTAAAGCCTGATAGACCAACCAGGAAATCTGTTTGCAGCACAGAATGTTTATCTAGTATTTCGCCCCAAATTATTATTATTTTTTTTAGCATTTTTAAGTTTGTTTATGGTTTTCTGTTTCATTTTTTCACTGATCAATGCCTGGTCTATTTTCTAAATGCCACACTGCTTCAGTGCGGCATCTGGGACGCTCTGCTGCTTCACACGCACAGCCTGTGTGAAAGCTTTGACCATTTGGGCGCCGAAATGAAAAGCAAGCCTTTCCGTGTCGCTCACGCCACACAGAAGTGGAATGTGTGTCAGGCCTTAAATGCCAAGCAGCTGATATTACCATGCTGTATGTGATCTATAGCACGTTTCGTTGTTTACTGTTAATTTTACAGCTGCAAACTCTCTCGCACACGCCTCACGTGTGTCCTCATATTGACCACTGCCTGTGCTGCTGCCTTTGAGATTACAAATGAAGAACGTTCACTCCTTTTCCTCAAACTTGTGAAGTATCCCTAACATTGTTTATTGTTTATAAAGTTCTATTCCATATGCATATCATTGCATCACAAACATGATTATTGAATGGAACTGATTTTACACAGCTTAAATGCCTTACACTGTAAAAATGTAGCAATTTACTGGCAGCAAATCTGTTGTATATTCACAGTAAATGTTTTACAGTATTTTACTGTATTCAGTTTAAATACAATGATTCACTGGCAACTGTGCTGCCAGTTATTTATTGTAAATTGCATTTTCCGGTATGTTACTGTAAACCAATGCACCGCTATAGATGTCGAATCTTTTACAGAACGACCCTGTAAAATATCAAACCAGTATTTTACTGTAAAATAAATAATGTAAATTTACAGCTTTTTATAGATGATGCTTAGTATAAAAATGCTGTAAATTGTCTCATTACATTAAAAAGGAACAGTTGTAGTGGGGAACTGCATAAAACAATGTCTTTGTCATTCTGATCGCGTGACATACTACAATACAACACAGATTTACCTTTGCTCTGAAGCTCTAAATGGCCTTAAAACACCTCATTGTCTGTCTGTTTATCATCTTAGATCTGTAGATTTTGGCCTTCTGCAAATTACAGAAACAGTGGAGAGGCCTTTTTCTGTTTTTTATGCTTCTAAACTCATAATCTCTTACAATTAGGCAGTCAAGTTCAGTCGGAATTAGTAAGAAACTTTTGTTACCTTTTTTATGGTCCTGTATCTCAGTTGTAGACGGGGACTCTTCTGGTGGTAATACCTTACTAATGCTTTAGTGTGGTTGTTTTACTGCAGTGAGTTCCAACTAATCAAGCTGGAATCCCGGATCATGTTGGCATTTACTTTCGGTTCCATTCACTCCAACCAGATATGACACAATGCAGAGTTAATACATGGGATGGAAAAGGCCAGGGAGGAAGTAAAACTAGCATTACAGTTAGCCGCAAAGAGAACTAATAGGCAGCTCCTCAACAAGCTTTGTCTCTCTTTCTCTTCAAACAGCAAAAAAAACCCTGAGTGGGTCGTCTGCCCACACACTTCTCGGGAACACCAATCCAGCACATACAGTTCAACACACATCAACAAAAAGAATCACACTGTTTAGACCTCATTTACCCCCTTAATGTCCTTTAATCTTTCTTTAGTGAATGTGCTTCCCCATTGTCTAACTGAGCGACACCACATGAAGGAATAAAGAGCTCACTTTCTCTAGTGCATTGTTGGAGGACAGCACAGTGTAGGAAAGGTATGGAGATTTATTACATCTAGAAGAAAAGACAATGAGTGCGTTTACATTACGATTTTTCAAAATGTCTGCATAATTAAATGGTTAAGGTGTAAACAGAGTCGTTCAGAGTGGTTTGGTGTGAAACGCTCTGTTCTACAGAAACAGAGTCAGAACTGTTCACAGTGGTGGTGATAGGAACCAGACGTCCACCTTTAAAAGCTCCCTCACAGAAAGTTACTACGTGAAATGGTTATGAATTCACTGCCTGATGAGATATTGTTTATTGTTTTACAATTGTTTTGAGATGATTTTTTTCCCTAAAATATAGTTTAAAATCCACAATGAGTGTGTTTACATGCACTCAATAATCTGATCATAATCAGATTTTGGCTGTCATCTGATTATTCAAATTGTCATGTAAACAGCTCACTCTGATTTCTCAGATCAGAGTAAAGTCTAGAAATCCGATTAAGAAATCTGCTGAAGAGACTGGATTTTAGCTCAGTAATCAGATTTCTCAGTGCATGTAAACTCTTACTCTGATTTCTTTCGGATGTCTCAGTCTGCGCATGTACGAAAACAGATCATGGTTCCAGAAATAAGTGAGCAGCGTTGTCGTGAGATGCAGCAAAACACTTTTGGAGCAACACTGAAACTGAATACATGCTTGACAAAATGAGGGATTTAAAAATTCTGCATCTTCTAGATGATGTCTGTTCATATTTTCAGGTAAAGTGGTTCTTCTGTGAGTTTATTGGCTGGTTGCAAAGCAGACATCTGAAATTACTGAAATTACCGAAGAAGAAATTACTGTCTGACTCATGTAGACCCGGAGTTTCCCCATTATTTGATTACTCAAGTGCATATAAACTTGTTGATCAG